GATAGTAGCCCGATAGTCCGTCAAGGAAGCAATAGTACTGATGGCCTGAGAGACGGTCCAGGATTTGATCAATGAAGGGCAATGGGAAGTGGTCCTTCTTCGTCACGGCATTGAGTCGCCGGTAGTCTATACACATTCGCCACCCGGTAGTGATACGGGTGGGGACCATCTCCTTTTTCTCGTTCTCGATCACGGTTATCCCTCCTTTCTTCGGCACCACGTGAATGGGACTGACCCACTCACTATCCGCCACCGGGTAGATAAGCCCCTCGGAATAGAACTTCAATACCTCCTTCTTCACGACCTCCATCATGTTCGGATTGAGTCGTCGTTGGCTATCGCGGAACGGCTTGACCCCTTCTTCTAAGATTATCCGGTGCATGCATGTGGCCGGACTAATGCCCTTGATATCCCCGAGACTCCACCCAATGGCCTTTTGATTCCTCTTAAGCACGTCAAGAAGCTCTCGTTCCTCGTCTCGGTTTAGCTCGGCAAAGATGATCACCGGCTTTTTCTTCTCATCATCAAGGAAAAGTACTTGAGGTGTCGGGGGAACTCCTTAAGCTCTAGTGGAGATGGAATTGTTGCACGGGATTCCTCGACTTCATAGAGCTCTACCATTGGCCCTTCGTCATCCTCCAAATCGGGCATCAACCTTTCTTCAAACTCCCGAACCATCATCTCCTCAACGAACGGGTCCATCACATCGATAAAGGCGCACTCCTCCACAAAGTTCACGGAAGATGCGGAAGTGGCCTCTCTAACAGAAGTGGATACTGACTCGCCTAAAACTGTCATGTTCAACGTACCGTTCTTCACATCTATGAGGGTGTTGGTGGTGGCCATGAATGGTCTGCCTAGAAGGATGGTATGGTCCTTCCCGTTCTCCTGCACGTCCCCCACATCTAGGACCACGAAGTCCACCGGGACGATAAGCTTTCCCACACGAACAAGAATATCCTCTATGATTCCCTTGGGGTATCTGATTGATCGGTCGGCAAGCTGTAGGCACATCCGAGTTGGCCTCAAATCTCCGAGGCCGAGCCGCTGGTAGATGGAGAATGGCATGAGATTGATCCCCGCTCCGAGGTCTAGCATCCCCGAAGCCTCTTTCCCATTTCCGAGGGCAATTTTGATGACAAAACCCCCGGGATCACGTTCCTTCTTCGGCAAGTCGTGCTGCATTGCGCTTGCCGCCTCATAGACCACCACTTTTTCTCCGTCCTCGAACCTCCTCTTCTTAGTGACCAAGTCTTTGAAGAACTTGACGTACGATGGCATATTCCTTATCACATCAAGCAGCGGCAAATTCACATTGACCTTCGAGAGCATGGTGTAAAGGTCTCGAAATTGCTTCTCCTACTTCTCATCCCGAAGCCGGCTCGGAAAAGGTATGCGTGGCTTATATGGATTTGGGGATCTGTGCAATAGTGGGCCATCCGCCGGTTTCTCCGAATCAGCTTCCTTGGAATTTTTGATATTCTCTTCCGCCTCCTTAGTCAGTTTAAGCTCCTCGGACTGATCCGACGGACCTGGCATCTCTACCCGGTTATCGACCACTTTCCCGCTTCTCAACACTGTGATTGCCTGGGCCTCCTTAGGTTGGCTAGGCAACTTTCCCTTGTCTGCTTCAGACTCGATATTTCCCACCCGAGTAGCCAGTTGGCCCACTTGGGTTTCCAAGCGTTTGATCGAGGAGTCCTGGTTGGTGATGAACTGAAGGATCTTGTCCAGCTTGTCATCTTGATTTGACGAGCTTGAACCAGACCCTTGGACTTGCTGTTGTGGTTGCTGTGGTTGTTGGTAGCTCGGACGGGGGATGAAGTTGGGACGGTTTTGCTGTTGCATGAAGTTTGGGCGGGGCTGCTGTTGGTTGAAGTTCGGACGAGGTGGCTGGAGAGTATTGTTGTTGTTGGACCACGAGAGATTTGGGTGATTTCTCCACCCGGGATTGTATGTGTTGGAATAGGGGTCATTGGGTTGCCGGTTTTGGTAACCTTGGAGAGCGTTGACGTCTGTATATTGTTCTCCTACCTCCTAGTCAAACGCCGATGGGCACACCTCGGATCTATGCCCCTGAACTCCACATGCTCCACATGTGTCTACTGCCATGGTATGCATGGACTGGCCTCCTCGTGCATTCATTAGCCGCATTTGCTCGGTGAGTTCGGCTATTTGCTGGGCCATCATATCTTGAGCAGAAGATACCTCGTTGACCACCACCCTCTTCCCTCGATTGCTCTTTTGAGACGAATTAGCACTCATCGTTTCAAAGATCTCATACATCTCCTCGGCCGTCTTCGCACCGATTTCTCCTCCCGCAGCGTTGTCAACCATGTATTGCAAATTCTGGTTGAGGGAGTCGTAGAAGCAATTCATTAGTAGTCCCGGTGAAAGATTGTGGTGGGGACACTGTCGCTGGAGATCCTTGAATCGCTCCCAGGCCTCGTGAAGAGGCTCATTCGGTAGTTGGGCAAACGAGACGATCTGTGACCGGAGCTCCTGAGTCTTCTGATGGGAGTAGTACCTCCCAATAAACTTCGTGTAAACCTCGGTCCAGGTGGTCAGAGATGCCGGTGCAAGTGTCATGAACCAGGCCTTGGCCCGGTCTTTCAATGTCTCGGGGAAGCACCTCATCTTCAACTGATCCTCATTCAGCCCGTTCAGTGGGAAGGTGTTGAGGACATTGTAGAATTCCCGGATGAAGTTAAGCGGGTCTTCGCTCGGGAGTCCATGGAATGCCGGCAGCTGGTTGTAATGAATCATTTTTAGCTCATAATTTCGTGCGGGTTCTGGTAAACAGATACACGAAGTGACTGGCCCGATAACCGGCTGGGCCAAGGTTCGGAGGGTGTTTCGAGGCGGTTGTTGCTGTTGCTCATCCATGTTGACGTTACTGCCCTCTGACGATTTCGGGGAGTGCTCGTCTCTTTCGTTAGATTCGAGAGTAAGCTCTTCCAGCAGCTCCCTCAGGCTCTCGTTCACTGATTTGTTGATCGGAGATAGCAATTTGCGTCCACTCCTGGTACGCATACACTAAGACCAACAAGGGTTACGAGCACCAATGATAAGAAAAAGAAAATAAAAATAAACAAGAACTAACACCTAACAAACAAAAAGAAATCAAGAGAAACGCGGAAACAAGAAAAATCACAAGAAATAAGAGAAACACTCAAAACAAAATGAATAGGCGCACAAAATAAGTCCTAAACCTTCCCCGGCAACGGCGCCATTTTGTTGTAGTTATTTTTACCGGAGTTAAATCAAAAGATTCGAACACCGGGTCGTGTCTCAAGGAAGGTTAGCCGGATTATTTTGTACGATTATTCAAGCACAAAAATGGAAAATAAAAGAAGTGAAAATCCTAAACATTCTAAATCAAGTTTGGAGATTTGATTATCGTCTACTAATTTGAAAAGCAAGTAATTGAACAGGGCAGGCAAACTAGGAATCACAAATTTAATATATAATGAAGGAGCTAGGGTATCGGGGTCGATCAATTCCGGTTCTCAATACACTTAACGAGCAATCAAGAGCTCGGTTGAATGCTTCGCTAAACTACTCATCTAGAGGTCTATCCTCAATAACTCTTCGTAACAAGAGGATAGACATTAATAAGCAATTCTTGAAGCAATCAACACATAAGCAATACTATTACGAACAAGCTTATTCCTAACGAGCCTAGATCGAACGATTTCTCCCTTTTCAGTTTTAAAATCGATTAGATAGATTAAGATGGTGATCAATCATCAAAACCCTAAGTTAAGCACAACTCGAGAGGATGGAGCAATTATCATGCACATAAATGAAATCAAACCGGAACGATCTTCCCTTAACCCTAGCTAAAGGATTTAGCTACTCATTATGATTATGCATTCAACTCCAACACATATAATAATCAAAGCCATTCAATCAATGAGAAAACGAAACGAAAGCTTACGATTGAAGAATCCAATGTTGAATACACGAATAACCGAATCCACAAGCTTAATCTTGGTGTTTTCACAATCCAAGATCAAATCCTATGAAGAACTAAGAGAAAAACTGTTTTGGAGTGAATAAAAACGAGAGAGAGTCTAAACCTAGGTGAAAAGTGAATGAAAAACTGATCAAAAAATGCAACTTAAAAAATTCTGCTGTCGCGACCTCCGCGGCCGCGACATAGACCTCCGCGGCCGCGGCGAAGAACATCTCGCGGCCGCGACTTCCTCCGCGGCCGCGACTTCCCCGAGCCAGAAATTGGAGATTTCGTGTATCTCGCGGCCGCGACTTCCTCTTCTCCGCGGCCGCGGCGAACAATTTCTGAACGTTGGTTTTTGGGTTCGTCTTCTCTCATCCGGACTCGGAACTTGACCCCGTCTTCTCCAACACGACCCCAACTCATCCATCTAGACAGTAGACCTCGCATAGCCATGCACCAAGCCACCAAACCTGCACATCACCACCGACAAGAAATACGGAAAACCGAAAAAACGAACAAAAAGACCAAAAACGACTAAAACAAAGGATATGCGCGAGACGACTCGAAATGGACCAAAAACCAAAGAAAAATACCTAAGTAGGGAAAAAACAAGCATGAAATAAACAAGGAAAACATGATAAAAGTGGAACGAACACTTGAGATTCACCAAATGGATGTCAAAACGGCATTTTTGAATGGTGAATTAGAAGAAGAAATATACATGGAACAACCTGAAGGGTTTGTTGCACCTGGACAAGAGAGAAAGGTGTGTAGATTGATCAAATCCTTGTACGGACTGAAACAAGCTCCGAAACAATGGCATTTGAAATTTGATGACGTGATGTTGTCAAATGATTTCAAAATCAACGAATGTGACAAATGTGTTTATGTCAAGAGTACATCAAATACCTTTGTGATTGTATGTCTATATGTAGACGATATGTTGATCATGGGGAGTAGCCATGAAGTGATCATGGATACGAAAAGAATGTTGAAGAGAAATTTCGATATGAAAGATATGGGTTTGGCTGATGTTATTCTTGGAATAAGGATTATCAGAACCCAAGATGGAATTATCTTGTCTCAATCTCATTATGTAGAGAAAGTGCTCAAGAAATTTAATGCCTATGACGGTGCACAGTCTAGGTGTAAGACGCCCCTTGATCTTAGTATAAATTTGGTGGCTAATAAAGGCCAACCAGTGGCTCAGTTGGAATATTCAAGGATAATAGGGAGTCCGATGTACTTGACAAATTGTACACGACCAGACTTGGCCTATCCGGTGAGTAAGTTGAGCAGATTTACAAGTAATCCCAGTCATGAGCACTGGAATGCTTTGAGAAGGGTACTTAAGTACTTAAGGTACACTCTTGAATATGGGCTAAAATACTCACGATATCCATCCGTACTTGAAGGGTACTGTGATGCAAGCTGGATATCAGATTCGAGAGATTCTCGCTCCACTAGCGGATATGTTTTCTGTATTGGAGGAGGTGCAGTTTTGTGGAAATCCACAAAACAAACGTGTATAGCTCGGTCAACGATGGAATCGGAGTTCATCGCTTTAGATAAAGCTGGTGAAGAAGCTGAGTGGCTTAGAAATTTTTTATCCGATATTCCATGTTGGGATAAGACTTTGCCGCCTGTGATGATTCACTGTGATAGCCAAGCTGCTATAGGTAGGGCGCAAAGCAATTTGTATAACGGTAAGTCTAGACATATTCATCGTAGACATAATACCGTACGCCAATTGATCACAAATGGTGTTATTTCCATTGACTATGTGAAGTCTAAGGAAAATTTGGCTGATCCTTTGACGAAAGGATTGAATAGAGATCAAGTGGTAGTTTTGCTAGAGGGAATGGGCTTAAAAATCCACAATGAAAAGAATGATCATAGTGGTAACCCTACCATGCTGAGTGGAGATCCCACGAACTTGGTTCAAAGGGAAAACTAAGCTATGAAAATTCAGTTGAGCACTTGGAACATATGAATGTCCAAAGCTTTTCCCTAGAGCACTCCAAGTGCAAGATGACCTGTTGATTGTGGTGAGGGTAAGTCATATGGACTTTTAATGAATCCCTAACTTTGTTAAGGTGGAGTATAACATGATACTCTTAATAGGGAGGTCGTCTATATAAGTGTGAAGTGTGGGCCGCTTCAAATATAAACACTTATGAATCCATTGTGTTGTCCATGGCCAAAACGGACACAACGATAGAACGGAATGGAGTTAAGGCTCTATTGTGTAAATATCATTGTCTTGGTGTACACTATGGAGGAATAGTTCAAGGCATTATGTACACTAGTCCGCCAGTGCATCTGATGATGTTTACTATGAAAGGTTCAAAGCCAAAAGCTACCTTCTCTGATGCAATAGAGTTTTGAGAGGATTGAGCACAATAGCCTATATACATTAAATTTTCACTCATGTGGGGGATTGTTAGAATTGAGTGAAAATTTGTAGGTGGGACCAATCCACTTGAATTTGTTACCAATGGCCAATTTGTAGATCTATATTTCACGTGAAGATTCCTAGACAATTGGCCACATGATCTTATACAATAATTGTAATAATAATTTATAATTGCAATCAGTGAGGAGAAACCGCGTGGAAAAGTTGGCCAATTGGCCAAATTTCCTTCAGACTCCATCTATAAATATGCTGATCAGCAGAAGGAGAAGGGGCACCGAACAGAAGAAAAGAAGAGAAAGATAGAGAGAAAGAAAGAATAGAAAAAAATATTTATTTGTTATCAAAATAACAAAAGAGAGATATTTTTAGTCATATTTTTAAGTGCTCAATTCTTGACTTCGTTTCAGTTCGCCGGAGCTCGAAAATCTGGTGTGCTACAGATTTAGAGACGTTTGCCGTTGTATCTTTGGAGAAGTTACAATTGAACCGTTAGCTGCCACATGGGGCGTATTCTTCTTGCGGAAAGAGTTTTACTCGCCTCGGCTAAAATCTTTCCGTTTTAAGTTTTAATTTAATTTTCAGTTGTAATTTATTTTTCAGTTCGATTGTAATTTTCTATTTTTTTTAGATCATTTGTAAGAACTGAAAAATACATATCAGTTCGTAGGATTCCCGTGTATTTTGACACCAAAGTTATAACATGTGTGTTGTTGTATGTCCGATGTGGTCTCCCTCGTCCTTACGCCTGACCCCCGACGAGAAATTTTTTGTTGTATGCTCTCGAATGGTTAGGCTCGAATGTTAGGGTCGAAAATCTAAAATATTTGTGTAGGAGAAAAATACTATATTTGTCATGTGTTTTACATCATATAATTTTATCATATTTAGTAATTGCTTGATTAGTTTTGTCTTCAAACGCATCATGTCTGGTAAAAATGATACAAAAGCTGAAGTGTAAAGTTGATGGGATTAAACTGTCCAATCCTATTAACTTAAGTAAACGAGGCCTTAAAGAAATTATCCTCATGTATCCACATTTGTATACGAGCCCTTGGAGTAAAGTTAAATCCAAGCAAGGAATAGGATCAAGCCATACATAAAAAAGCTTCTCCATCCAAAGCAAAAATAGTCAACTGTTACTATCCAAATTATATTTCACACATTACACCAAATTGCACAAGTCAAGCCGATACTATTGCTCCAGCTACACCATAAAAGTATCTTCTAAGCATGAGTTTTTTTTAGCTCTAATCATAGTAGCTCACGGATTTTTATCTTTCCCTACACTACTTGATTTGCATTTACCATGGTTTAACTTTACAGCAAGTAGATTATCTTCAGTTGGACCTATCTGAACATTCTTAAACAAACATCAAGCTCTCATATTAACCATGTTACCATCCCAAGCTAATCTTCCCAGCCCCACACCAGAGTGTAAAGAACTTAATACACAAATAGAAACAAGTTTGCACCCTACATCGCTAGCTGACTAGTGCACTGAAAACCCTCAGCTTGTAGAGGTCCAGATACCAAAGAATAGATATTCAAATTTCCATCAGCCTCCAAAACTTCTTACCATTCGAAACACGAGGTAGAGTAGAGTTAATTCTCAGAAATCAAAGGCGAGTCCACCCAATTTGCCATCTCAACCCATACCTAAGAGTATCTCGAGCACCTAGCCCACCTTATAGAGCAAGAATCAGTAGCCATGCTTCTCACCTCAAACACAATTTGGCTATGGGGAAATTTTATCCTCACAACCTAATAAGCAGATTAGGACAAATGATCATCCTCCAAAATCTTTAGCTAATAGAGCATAATTAAATATTAAAGCCCTTGAAACCAAAACCACCCCCAGATTGGGGAAGGCCAGTTTTCTCCATTGAATTTTATTAAGCCCCTTTACTTGGTTTCCTCGACCAAAATTTAGAAGTGTACCTTACATGTGAGGGATTTTGAAGCAAGACATCACATAAATAGGCAGAACATTGATAGCCACTTTCATCTAAACTTCTCTACAAACTATGCTCAAGAATTTGTTTTTCCAATGCATCACTCTCTTACTCTTACTGGATCAAATATATGAAAATAACTGACAGCCAGAGTCTAGCTTACATAAATTGGATTATTTGAAATTTTTATGTATCAAAATTTTTCCTTTAATTGTCTTCTCCAAATTGATTCATCTACATGGATATACACTTAAATTATGAGTTTGTTTGGAAATACTTTTCAAATGGACTTTTGGATGCAAAAGCCCATTTAGATAATTATTTATGTTTGGTGCTAAATTAAGAATGGACTTATTCATGAATAAGTTGTTTCTCCAAAAAGTCCATTCCGTAAAAATAGATGATGGAGACTTTTGGAGAAGTCCATTTTGGATAAGTTCATATCTTAAATGGACTTTTTCAGAAGTGCTCCCAAACAAGCACTATGTTGTACCAGTTGGTCATTTAATCAAATTAAAATATCACACACACAAAGCGCATACCATGACAGCAAAGAATATAGATATGGATACTTTTGAAAAATAATCGTATCAAACACAAAATTTTCCAAATTACATGGAAACAATCCCCCCTTATATATTAATTCAAAACATGTTAAGCCAAAGTGGCAGGCTCGCACGCTTCAAATGCTGATATGGCAAAAATCTATGCTTCGAAATGTTGTTTGTATATTCATTTTTTGCTTTGAAATTAAGCTTGGTATAGACATAAATAACTTTTTTCAAATTTGATTAGTGTACATTTAATTTTGTTATTTTTTTTCCTCTTAGTACAAATTTTCTTCTAAGCAAGTAGCAATCTTACCATCTTATAATTTTCTTTCATATTTCTCTCCTAAATTACGATTTACAAATCACTTTTTTACTGTCTATTCCTATTTTTTTCAATCAATTAGTCCATTAAAATTTTATTTTAGCAATAACTTTTATCATATATTTTTTAACTCAACACCGTGTAGTACACGGGCANAAATAATTAATTAAAAAAATAAAATAAATAATAATAACTGCATCTTAGAATAACAGAAGAGCTGAAAAAAAAGTCCTCTCCAAATTATTGCGTATATATTCTTCTCTCCATCTCCCTTTCTAGGCTTGCGCCTATATTCTTTACAGCTTCCCGCTTCTTTTCGTCACTCTTACAAAAATGACCTGCACCCAGACAGATATACATGTATATATATATGTTTACACAACCAGCGAGTCTTTGACATGATAATGCAACTCCACAACTAACAATTTTTGCACTTCGTAAACTCTGTCACTAAGAGTTAACCCCGTAAAGTCAATTTACGCAGTAGTGCAAAAAGACTCAAGTATTATGCACACATATATCAAGAAAATGCAAACATTTCTGCAAATGCTAAAATTTGCGCAATATTTTGAAGATGCAAAGCAACTTGTGCATTTTATAAGCTTTACAGCCATCTGTATTTCCATACCGGCACAATTAATAGTATTTTAATGTATAATTATTGATAACTAAAACGAGCTTCCATCACTAAAATTCCAAACTCCCCAACATGACAGCAATCCATTCTAATATTTCCTGTTCATTCTAACTATTATTTAACAATAAAAGACAAATTGTATCAAGATAAATCCATAACACAACAAATAAAATAATAAATAATATTAATGAATGGTGAAACTGAACAAACTTAGTGAAGCTTTTCAACATACCACCAGCAGGTCTTCATTGATATTCAAATTGCAGTCCACGTAGCTACTGCTTTCATTTATCCGCCGAAATTTGAGCTCACAATAGACACACCACCGTATCACAGATACAGATAATGCATATATTATAACACCAGCAGCTTGCATGCACGCATGAATGCTCGGGAACCACTGTAAAAAAGCCCACGTATAGTCATGAAAGCTGCCCTTTAGGTTTGACCTGGTTAAGAAGAGTCGAGCACTCTACTGAAATCACAAAATGTAAGGAAACGAACAGAGAACCTTTTGCGTAATTCGGCATTTTCTTTAACAAATACTACCCTATTGAGAACACGGTATATGAAACAAGATTAGTATATTTCTCTTTCTTTTTAGTATAATTAGACTAAATAGCAAGAAGATTTTTCCTTGAACAACCATTGCCATAATTCACAATGTTGATAGGAAAATAATCGAAAAAATGAACTTACATGAACTTTGACCCATAGAGAGCTCTCATATCACTAGGAACTTCAATGCAGTCAACGCACTGCATGGTTCTTATCAGATTTGCCTAAAAAACCAACAAACTCAAAATGGGAGCACTTGTGCACCATGACCACAGAAATTTAGTTTGATTCATCGGATAATATGGATTTCATGGTTTCAAGCTGACCAACAGAAAAAGGAGGCCTCTTTGATAGAGCAAGACTATATATATTTTTAGCCTTATCAATCATGTCATCGCCTCCAGCTGCATCTCCAGCTTTTCTCAGTCCTCTGAGCAGATTATAAATCGTATGCACACTAGGAAACCAGTTTTTCTGCATACAATCTTTACACATGATGTAGGCCAAGTCATATTTCCCCTCCATACACAGATAATGAATCATGGTCTGATAAATCCTCTGGTTTGGCTTATATCCATCATCATGAAAAATCGAATACACCCTCATGGCCTTTTCATAGTACCCCACCTGGAAAAACCCCTTGATCACTAGATTATACGTGATCTCATCGGGAAATTCCGGAAACTTCCTATGCCTGCGCATAAAGTTCAGCATCTTATTAGCCTCAAACGCACGCCCCTGGTTGATCAAGAACTGAATCCTAACATTAAAAGTAGCCACATTAGGATCACAGCCTTTTAACAGCATCAAATTCCACAAACCGTTTGCAATTTCCACTCGCCTAGCCTCGTAAAAAGCCGATATTAATGTTGTGTAAGTGAAAACATCAGGGATTATTCCCAATTTCTCCATCTCAACCATGACCTGAATAGCCTTATCCAGAATACCTATTTCGCAAAAGGCCTTGATGACAATATTAACGGAATAAACATCCAAATGGATGCCAAATCTATTAGGTACATCATTCAAGAACAAGTTAATCGCCTTTAAATCCCTCGACTGGGTCAGAACCTTGAGGGTCGCATTGAAAGACTTAACGGTCCTTTTACACCTGTGCAAATGCATGTCGTTGAAAGTTTGTACAGCGTGACTAACCATCCCTGCCTTACCATAGAGCATTATAATACGGATTATAAACCCTTCCCTACGGCCCTGTGGCAGGGACTTTTGCTCCTCGAGTAGACTCTCGATGTAATCTAATCTGCCCGCACCAGATAACCTGGAGACAGTGTCCGCAAAGGCAAACCGGTTCTCAACAACGAGCCTATTGCGAGCATTGGCCCTGAACAAATCGAACAGCTTATCCGGGTCCTTCTCTTTCTTCAGCTTGATCAATGCAGGCTCATCTGTTTTGGCCGGATTTTTCAAGTCCTTTGTTGTTTCAATAGCTTTGTCGATAGATGAATTAATAGAAGTGGGAGATAACTTACAGGGTGCGGTGTTAAATCTGCGAATCGATCGCAGAGCGAACATGTTCTGGAACAAAAACCCCCGATATTTCACGCATGCCCGCCGGAAAAAACAAACAATTGCAATGCTATTTTACCGGATAATAGTTCCCATTTCAGGAAAAAAAAGAAGAGCAATACAATGGAGAATAGAAAACCCTTTGCTTATCTGAGAAGGCGATAAAGGCTCAGTAGAGTAGTGGGAATTAGAGAAAGAATGAGATTAAACCTAGCTAGGAAGAGGAATCACTGTGCCTGCGGGGTTGAAGGAGCGTTTAGGATTTTAGGTTAGGGGTTTAGGTTTCAGGGGATCCCCTGCGGTCGGATGCACGGTAAAGATTTCTTGTTGCTGGGGCTTGGCAAGGATATTATTGGATAGTTGAATTTGGGCCCATTTTAGGTTAGTTGGATAGGGAGTTTCGTGGAATCGAAACTCACCACCAACAATGCTTTTTCTTTTTTTTTTTCTTTTTTTTTTTTTTTTTCTCTGAAAACGATAGGAAACTCAAATAATAAAAATTGGGATACAATATCCAAATACAAACTCGAGAAGGACCCACTAAAGTCGAAAGAAATGAGAGATCGCATCGGCACGGTCTAGAAACAATCAAAACCATCTATACGCAACTAACTTAGCTGAGACCCTAACAAACAACAACAAAAAAAGAACTAGAAGAGGAACAAAACACTGTCTAAGGAACTAAATCATTCCTCCACCAGTCCACCACACCCCAACACTTACTTAACAGACCTGAACTTTGTCCACTCTTTAACTGCCTGCTTCACAATAAAAAGCTATGGGAGCCATTGATTTTGAAAGACCCAAAAGTTACAGGCCTTCCACGATCACCAATGATAGGTCTTTTGGGACCCACGAAGATTTCGTTATGTACAAGTCACGACTTGAATAATCAACAATAAACCTATGCGCAACGAATCTAGAGGTTCAATGTTGAAAACTTACGGCTTAAAAATTGCAGACTCAGATACGTAGATTTCCGCTATTGGAGATCGTCTAAACTTTCCAAATCCGTTTGGCAGCCGAAGTTCTTCTCTTCGAACGTCGAGAGGTCATCGGGAGCGTCGCGCGATTGCAGAGGGTCGCGGAATTTAGCTCTCGGTTGAGCAGGGACAGCAGCACGCCAGTCGTGGTCGTCGGGGTGGACGCGCGATGAACTCGGGGCTGCGGTCGGGTGGCACGCAATGGATGCTGGGAACATGTCTCAGTTGGTCGCTCGCGTCGCCTGGTTGCTCGCGGTAGATCGTCGGGGCTGACTGGTCACGCTTAGTTGAAGACGCGGGCTCGCGGTGGTCGCTGGGGCTCGCATGATGGTCATTAGGAGGCTCGTCAACCTCATGATCTTCTACTATATTACCCAACACCTCTTCGGTTGTCTCGGTCGAGTAACAAACACGAAGACAAAGCTCAGGGATAGGGGGTCGGTCGAATGTATGTGTGAGGCGTGTGGAAACTTGTGTTTAATCCCATGAGCTTAATGGTTTATTTATAGGGCTATAGTAGGGACCCTAAGGGCTAAGAAGGTGATGTTTGTGGGCTTCTTAAGTCATTGGGCCCAACTGTGGTCGAGCCCACTTTGCTCAATAACTTAAATAATGTTTCAATCCACTAACAAAACATTATTGCACTTCCTTATCATCCTCGAATTATATTTGAGACTCCAATAACAATTACTCGAATTATCTCCCCATGTTTCAATCCACTTCGGGGACATCGTCAAACTAACACACATGGTAGGGTTGAGCACGAGACTCGGAGATTACCGAACCGTTCCGAAAACCGAACTAATTTCACCCAGAACTGAAAAATATCCGTTGACCGTTTGACTTTATCGGAACCGAACCATACAGAAAAAATATTTGGTATGGTTCTGGAGATTCATAAAACATACCGAATCGAGAACCCAACAAGAACCAATTTTAATTCATAAAATTCATATAAATATAATATTTCATCATATGCTTTCTTTTCAACTTTCTACATATTTGTATTTAAAGTTAAATTGCAAATAAAATCCATATACATTAGGTCTATGTTCATAAACATCTTATATTATATTTAAAATTGAATTGCAAAAATCCTCCACTATTGAATGTTAGTATAATTAAGTGATTGAAAAAATAATTATTTTATTTTCTTACTGCATGTGAGACATTAGTTTGAAAAGAATTAAATTAATATACTTTCCTATCACAAATTTTGGTAACCAACGTGTCAAACTTTATTAAAATATTTATTAATTATAAACCAAATTCAAATTTAGAATGTTTAGAAACCAGCCTTTATGAAGAAAATCTTTCACAAAATTTGGAGAGAAATATTTATTTAAAGATGATGTATTTTCAAATAAAATAAATTGATAGATATTTTTACCATAATATCTATCAGTTTAATAATAATACTACGACACGCCGACACTCACTGCTCGAAGACGGCAAAGGTTCAAGTTTTTTGGTATTACACATGTATTGATGAAAAATTCACAGCTAAATTTATGTCGTATGGAATTGTGGTTTGTGAATTATGGGATTTGTATTTGGAATTATGGGATGTGAACTCTTGGATAATGTTTGTCTTAGCAATACTTGATCTATAATTGAATTTTTTCTGTTTTAAAAATATTATTTAAAATCTTTAATATGATGGAGTATTGATGAATGTTGGATTTTTTTAAAGTATATAAAAACTAAAATATAATTAGGTAGTCATTAAAAAAGATATATATAATTACAAATCTCCGTATATTCGAACCGAACCAAACCAAATCGAATCGTTCCGATAGTCCGGAATATTGAATCGAACCAAAAAAAAAAAAAAAAAATCTCGAAACCGAACCGTCCCAAAATTTTGGTACGGTTCCAAAAGTTGAATTTAGAAATCTCCAAATTTTGATACGTGATTCCGAAGATTTATTTGTCTCCGACACATGTTCACCCATACTACCCACCGAATTTGCCTTTGGACGATACTTCTGATTTTATTATAATTCAAAGAAGAAACATACTTGAAAAAAAGAAAAAGAAGAAACATACGAGAGATATTGAGAGAAATAATCCGAAGAAAATAATGGAGCCGATTCCTTTTTCTCTCTAAGGTTTATTTTAATCCTCATAAGTAGACTACTTTATTGTTAAATTCTGTTAGAACAAAATGCATCAGTGTAAGTAATTTGGTGAAATCTGAGGTATCCGCCGAATTTTTACAGCTGTATTGAAATCGATGTTTATGGTGGGTTCCCTATTACGTTTCGGATCGATTGCAGTTTGGGTGTTTCATATTATTGCCTGTATGGGGTAAGCAATTTAATTCTGGTTATCAAAAGTTTGTATTTTAATTTCCTTATTATTATTTACTGGATTTACGCCATTCTTGTTGGTTTCCTTAATGTTGATTTACCTTGCTATTGGAAAACAACAATGGTATTTTCCCATTTTCTTTTGACAAAATCATTGTTAATTTTGATGCAAATTGATTGATGCTTGGGTAAAATGCTAAGTTTTGTTATTGTGTGATTTAGCTAATTTTGTTCCCTTTCCTCTTTCCTGCTTTCCTGGCTGTTATTTGATTGCTACGGTATTGTTCTTTATTTGTTGCTTAGTATAAATTGATTTCGGTTTTCGTTGATTTGAGGTCTTCACATGCACAGCTTATCTATTGGTTTTTTTACTGCTCTTCTTCAATTGTATTTCTGGTTGATGCACAATATACTTTTTTAAGTGTTCTCCTTTTTTTCCAATTTGCTTTCCTAGGATTGAAGATTAGAGAATATTGATCGATCCTCTACTGTTTATTGGGTTCAATTTTGTTTTCATTTTATAAACTCACTATATGTACTTGAAATGAATAAAACTAGTGTGGTCATTTAAGTGCAGCTGAGACGATCTGGCTATGGAATCCTTGGTTAAGACCTTTGTGAACAAACACTCTTCCAATTTTAAAGATTAGGTACATAGGATATTAGGATGCAAATGTATGACTTGATTATGGAAATTTTCTTTCTGCAAGAGTGTAGTGATGATTACGAAGAACCCTGATGACATTGTTGGATAAGAGATGAAAATGTGATTATAGAAGTTTAACAATTACCACTCTAATAAAGTGGTAGGTTGATATTTTTCCTTTTGGGAAAATAGCTGAAAGTAGAAGTTACTGAACAACATACTTTTTGATAAGTTTCAGAAATATTCTTTTAGGGTAAATTTCTCTGGCTAAGCCAAAATGGTAATTATAAATTAATATGCAATTGCATACCCTTGGTTGTTTAGTCATTCATTCTTCTTTTTTGTTTCTTTTTTATTTTTTCTCTAAATTTCTTTGTTGTTTCATTAGGTTAGAAAGAGTGCACCTTTGTGATTTGTTATATGCATATGTTGAAATAACTTGATATGTTACAGCCAATATTGTCTTTTGGAACAGAGCAGTTGCTGTCTTGGGTGTGACAATAGGCCCCACCTGATTCCCTCACTAGAGGGATCGTTAAAATCACAGCATAACCACCACGCCTGGAAAAAGGCTTCAAAATCTACTTTATCTGAAGATTATTGGACGACGAGTACTTATGATATGGACAATAATGCATTTCAATCTTGTGGAAGCATCTCATCAGCATGTACATTGACTCAAACCCATGATGTTGTTGGTGCAGGAAACTCGTATAGATCATCTGACTTTGTAAATCATGGTAAGTGGACTGCATTTTTCCTTAAGTTCATTACAAACCATCCTTTTGGTTAGTGTTATTAAAGAAAAAACCTATTTATCTATAGAAGGGCCTTCCCTTTTTCCTAGTTTTATTTTACTAAATACAAATTGCACTATCTAGGGGTGGGTTTTTGTTAGGTAGATACAGACCTCATGTGGTTGTTTGTAGATATGTGTAATCTGATAATTAATTGGAGATATTTGTGATCAGGCTAAACTCAATATTTGTGGTCATCCCCTTTTTAATTGTGGAAGTTTGGTAGAGTGTCAGAATTGTTGTCTGGGTTTTAATTGCTGGTTATTGTGGTGTTTGTGATCAATAGTTGTATTGTGGACTATAGACCTCATAGTCTATTGCAAATGGAGCTGGAACTGGAAGAGTCATTGTTGACAATTCTCCTGCCATAGTGCTAATAATGGACTAGATCAAAATGACTCAATTAAATTCTAGTGCTTCTTCTATTAGTGAAGTTTCTAGAAAAAATATATCAAACGGCGCAATGCACCTTGGGTCGCTACGAAACAGCCTCCTTGTATAATTACAAGGGTAAGGTCTGACCCCCAGACCCCAACCTGTTGGGAATATAGGGAATATACTGGGTATGTTGTTGTTGTTGTAGTCTATGCTTCTCGGTGGACCTTGCGAAGATTTTACTAAAAAGTAAAACCCCAGCGTCACTGCGTTAGCAACTGAAACTAATCACAATATAGTGATATACATCAAACTTATACACAAGTCGCAATATACATAACTTTTATTCATAAAATACATTAGTTTGACACCTATTCATCAAGCCAACATTTTTCTGTACTCTGCAGATTTCTCATGTACTGTTAACTCTTTCAGCTTTTGGCGTCTTGGTATTTCCTTTCGGTATTTCTCATTCATCATCATCATCATCATCATCATCATTTGCTTGCTCTCTATGCCTTCTTCATTTTGTGGACTACAGGTCTTATTCAATGGAACCTGATTAGAAAGAAATGGGTTGGGAACAACAAGTCTCCCGGTCAAGCACAACAACATCATGAGCCCAGTTTAAGGTGAGATTGCTTCACTTATCTGTGTTTCTGATATGTTGCATTGATGAATTATTATATATATATATATATATATATACCTTCATCCATTTTTAACTTTTAACCTCATCCATTGAATTTTTTTTCTCTCTTTTCAAGCAATGGCCTTACGCATTCTTACTACACCATTATTTTTTCTAAATAAAGGTTTGCCTGTAAGGAAAGTTGGAACCACTATACTTGAGGTGAAAACTCCTCGATCAGTTTCAATGCGTCTATGCAAAAAGAAAATTGGTATAAGTTTTTCATTTTTTTTTTGACAGTATGCATTGTGTTTGTAAATTTATTTAATTACTAAATTTAGTTCAAGCCCACTTATGACTAATTTAATTTTGTATGGCTCGTTGTGGAGCACAAGACAAAAGCCAGAGTGGTCGTCGAGTGCAAGAAAAGGTTCACCTCCATATCTCTGTGGCGAATGTAACAAGCGGTTCAAGTCAGAAGGGGGGTTTAACTATCACTTGCGCATAGAACACGCCAAAATATATGCCAACAATCTTTGGTGTCGCAAGTCTACGCACTACCAGAGAGATTCACAAAGGCTCAAAAATCACCTCTGCCTTACCCCTACCCCTATTGAGCGAGGGCTAAGAGAAGACGAACGACTTCTGAAGGAAGCGGAGGAGAAGAAGGAAAAGAAACAAGAGGAACAAGAGAAGAAGAAAAAAAAAAAAATGGAAGAGGAGAAGGCTGCCGCCGCGGCGGAGATGAAGGCCTTGGCGCTCAAGGAAAAGGCGCCTTCTCCTCTTCCATTTTTTTTTCTTCTCCGGTTCCTCTTGTTTCTTTTTCTTCTTCTCCTCCGCTTCCTTCCGAAGGCATTCGTCTTCTCTTAGCCGTCGCTCAATAGGGGTAAGGCATAGGTGATTTTTGAGCCTTTGTGAATTTCTTGGTAGTGCGTAGACTTGCGACACCAAAGATTGTTGGCATATATTTTGGCGTGTTCTATGCGCCAGTGATAGTTAAACCCCCTTCTGACTTGAACCGCTTTTTACATTCGCCACAGACATATGGACCCTCACCGGTGGACCTTTTCTTGCACTCGACGACCACTCTGGTTTTTGTCTTGTGCTCCACAACAAGTCCTACAAAATTAAATTAGTCATAAGTAGGCTTGAACTAAATTAAATAAATTTACAAACACAATGCATACTGTCAAAAAAAAAATGAAAAACTTATACCAATTTTCTTTTTGCATAGACGCATTGAAACTGATCGAGGAGTTTTCACCTCAAGTATAGTGGCTCCAACTTTTCTACAGGCAAACCTTTATTTAGAAAAAATAATGGTGTAGCAAGAATGAGTAAGGCCATTGCTTGAAAAGAGAGAAAAAAAATTCAATGGATGAGGTTAAAAGTTAAAAATGGATGAAGGTATATACGTTTTTGCGGCGCCTTTACGCTGACCAAAGCAGCCAGAGGTTTACCTCACCCCTAGGGCTGTTATCGAACCGAACCGAACCGAGCTTAAGGTGTTCGAGCTCGAGTTCGATTAATTTTCGAACATGTTCGTGTTCGTTCGATTAGTAAACGAACAAAAAATTTTGTTCGTGTTCGTTCGTTTATTGGTTCGACACGTTCGTGTTCGTTCGTTTATCTAGTCGAACATGTTCATGAACTGTTCGAGTTGTTCGAATTGTTCGACAAGTTCGTGTTCGAGTTGTTCGACATGTTCGTGTTCGTGTTTTTTAACTTTTTTTTTTTTAATGTCATACAAGTTATTTTATTTATTATTTAATATCTATTCATATTTATATGTTCTATTATATATGTATATACTATATATAATATATAAAAT